TATTAATGCAATGGACGATGTTGTTGCTTGTTTTACTATTGTGCATTGTTATGATACTGTACATGACGTCCTCCGCCCCCGAACGTTTCCTCCGTTCTGGTTTGGGGGTGTGACATATGAAGGGTTCACGGCCGTGAACTCTTGAAGATCTTTGAAAAGAAGTGTTTGTATCATGGGTGGAATCAAGTGTTTCTAAGGGACAACATGAAGATGTATGAGATACTTACGTTTTTTAGGCCTTTAGAAGTGATCACGGTTGAAGATAGTTGAGAGAGAAAGGAGATGTTCACGGCTAGAGTTGAAAAAGTGAAGAAAAATGAGCCAACTTTATATATATAAGAGTTGTTCATGGCCCAAAGATGGGTTCACGGCCGTGAACCTAGTTTGTGGCCGTGAACTCCTTTTGATTGTGTTTCCGGCTCGATTGCAACTCAATGATCTCAAGCTAACACTTCCTAACACACAATCTTTAAGTGTACTAGGCTTAGAAACTCTCAAACAGACCCTTAACACATCATAAAGGTAACAGAAACAAGTCTGACTTTTGATTGAATTGATTGACTTTACAAGATAGAAATTTCGGGTTGTCACAGAGGAGATGAGATAAATGTTGCTTAATAATAGGGATGAACCTACTGTGCCTGTTGTGCATCCCAAACTAAATGAAGAACTGTCAGATGAGGGAAACTACAGTCATACAGTGAGTCAAGTTGAACCCTGAGTGGTTAGAAGAAATAACCAGGATGAAGGAATTGAGAGGAATGGATGCAAGTATAAAGACTTTACAACTTGCAAACCATCAACTTTTACTGGGAAAGAAGATCCAATCGGAGTTATGGATTGGATCTCTAAGATGGAGCTAGCTTTCATAACATGTGGTTGCAAGGGCAAGCTACAAACCACTTATGTTGTTGTAACCCCCCGCGTTTTTGGCTAAGCATTAATATTATGATGTAATATTTAGAGTCAACAATTGTAACCTCTTTTGAAGTAATGAAGAAGAATTATTTGAGTATTATGTGATTTATGTGATTTACGTGCAATATACGTGCTTATAACGATATAATAAAATAATAATAAAAATATGCGTCAAAAATAGAATGAGGATTTGACCCAATATCTTTAAATAAAGTTGAAGTAGTCGTAACAAGGATTTCGGGGATATAAGGAACGCTGAAATCCGACTTATAACAAAAAAGTTATGACCCGTTGAAGTTTTGCGACAAAACCGGCACAACGTTGTGTGTCGTAAAAAGTGAGTTTGCGATAAAATAATTTTTAGCCTTAGCGATCTAAATGAAAGTCGTAGTATACGTTAAACCGAGAACGTACATAAAAAGAACGTCTAAATCTGACTTCGTATGAGGAAATTATGATTTTTCTAAGATTTAGCATAGCAGTGCACAGCCCGGAAATCGAATTTTAGATCAATCGATTTTTAGCCGACACAATCTAAACAAGAATCAAAGATCTCTTTAATAGGATCTCAACGATATAAAGACAGACGAAAGTGGACGATAGATGACAAAGTTATGAATTTTTAACGGACTCTATCTGTCTAAGCATGTTAAAATATAACTTTAAAAATAAAGTCAAAATTAGCCGACGGAGTCTAAGTGAAAGTTGTAGATCATGTTGCCACCTACGCGTGGATATAAAGAACGTCAAAAACGGAGCTCGTATACAAAAGTTACGGAATTTAGAAGTTCATTAAATTATGGAAGAATGCGAGGGTGACACGTGGCCGAATCAGGGCCATTCCTTTCTCTCTGCGGCTTCGCTTCGGATGATGAAACCTGCCCCTCGTATGCCCAGCGTATCCAGTACACGCAGCGTACTCCGAAGATACGCCCAGCGTAGTCCGAAGCCTTAGCCTATAAATAGGTGCGAGGATCACCCCAAAAACTCACACATTTCCCATTCTTTCTCTCTCAATTACTTCTCTTAGCCCCTCCCATTCCCTAGTACTTCCCAAGTATTAGAGGCGAGTCCTGGAGTACCAGAAGGCTCCGAGAAGAAGAGCTTTCAGCTTAGAAATTCTGCCCCCCGCTAAGCCCGGCTCCTAGCTAAACCCCCTTGTAAGTGAGTTATGCTTACCCTACTTTAAGTATAACTTATGTTTAAGTTCATTATCGTTATTATGAACCTATAAACAATATGTGTGCTAAGTATTATAAATTATACAAAGTGTTATTATAATATATTTTAACTGCTCGCGGTACAGGGAATCTGGTTTGAAGGGCCGCATAGGGTTGTTGGATTTCAGAACAACTTAAATGTCAAAATGGTCCTGCCCTCCGGTGTTTCATGTTTGGCCCTTGTATGTACATAGTAGTTGAAAAGTATTGTTTAACACTTATATAATACAAGAACAACAATATTACCTAGACTAATAATTAGTCGCAATAAATATTAAACTAAAATCTAGTGATAATGGTATTAGGTTTCGTCGAAGGAAAATAAAATTGTTAGAAGCGAAGCGCTGCCCGAGTTTGGAGTCATCACTTTAACAAGTGAGTGCATAGTTACTTCATCTTACACATAGATATGAAGTATTTAATATAAATTACGTGCTATGTGTGTGCATATTATTTATGTTCTTGATATCTATACTGGATGAACAAAATATACATGTTTTATTTGATTTAAACTGTATATGTATTTTATACCTATAATTATGATGAGTAAAGATGGGTAGATGAAATGAAATGATGAGAGGCATCGATGTTTAAGTTGATCCAGTCATCTAGCAGAGTATAGATGACGACCACGGACTATTCTAAACACTCTAATGGAACGTTGGCAGGCTCGCAACCTGTAGGTGTTTTGTGAACGATGTGCTCACCGGTGTACTCCATCCCCTCATGGTTGACTTACTGCCATATATTGCTGAGGAATCCCCTAAGCAGTATTGTCATTCCCGATAATGATCCTTAGGCTAGGTCCCTTGAATTAGATGATTTAGGGACAGAAAATGAGGATAACGGGAAGGGGTAATCGGGTTGAATGATTTGATAAAATTAATAAACTTAATTATTGTGGGTTGAAAACCCTATGTGCTCACCAGGCTCCTAAGTCTGACCCATTCAGTTTCTTGTATTACAGGTAGTGGCAAAAGAGCACATGAGTGTTGATCTGATGAGAGATCTATGGATTATAGGTCATTAGAATAATATATGTTGTAAGGCCTGTACTATTTCTGTTTATGCTTATGTATTGTATTAACAATGACATCCTAGCGTTTTTAATATAATGAAAACCCATTCCTTCAGGAATGCTTTGATAATTTACTTATCATATTTTTGGGAACAAATTCCGCAACATATTTCTTCAAAAGTATACTCTGATTTTCAAATAAAGCATAAACAAATCGGTTTCTTCTGGCCGTGAAATTAGGGATGTCACAGTTGTGCGTCAGAATAGGGGTGGGGATGTCACACCCCTCCCCCTTTACCTGCCCCTTCAAGAAACTATCATCTAGTCATATCACCCTTCTACATCCTCTGTTCCATCCATCTCTAAAAGCCTTAAAGCCAACATAAAACCTCCTAAAATAGTTACACCTCGGATTACTTTCTACCCCCACCAAGCAAGTTGTACTCGGATTAGTCAACCTAATTGTAGTTGCATAGTCCCGAACCCTAGCATAATGGTCTTCTAACTTCCCTTCTATCATCCTCATTGCAGTAGACCTTGCTCTTTGACATTGCCCAACAGATACACTCACCAAAAAACCTTTGTAGCACATCTGCTTGCATCTCTAGCAATGTCATCTTGGGCTTCATGATTACATTTTTCAGATAGTGTTTGGCTAACCAATTGCTAGTAACTAGGGAACCAAAGTGATAATTCCTAGCACACAAATGAATTTCATTACAGAAGTTAATTTGGAATGTCCTTTCATTGTACTTTCATCCAACTGCAACCCTAAATAGACACTGTATTTTTTTATTGTCACTGATTCCACTACCACACTTAGCTATAACCCTCACTCTCACTTTTTTCAAAATAAAGTTGGTATCCTCCATGGACTGCATAGTTAGTTAAAGCAAACCTGAGTTGAGCAGGGGATTCATAACAGTCTCCTAATCGGGGCCTCGTCTCTTTCCAATCAACATTGGGATCATGCACCCTATACTCGACACCAACATCTTCATCGTCCTCATCTAAGTGGCCATGCTCATTTTGCTGACCACCAGGAATGTCTCCATCATCTACCATTCCATCAATACTCCTCCTTAATATGTTTTCGTCACACAATAAGTTAAGTAAAATGATCATCACATAGTTTTGAGGGGGCTTTGAAAGTTTCTTCAGAAAAATCCAAGAAGCTAAAGTCAAATGCTTCATCATCGAAGTCAGAGTCTGGAAGGTATGTCTTCTCAGGAAGCTGAGGCCCTTTAGGCTTCTTAGTTCCAAAAGTAGAAGCCATCTATTTCATCAAAAAAAAAAAAACTTGTTAGTTCAAACTTGGAACACCATACTCCATAGACGAAGATAACCACACCCTCAGAAGCATCAATTTCTTGTTTCCATACACGTACCTTTCTACTCCACCTTACTTCAACGATTTCGGAGCTTCAAAATGCAAAATTGGGGACTATGAAACCCTTCTCAGCGTCAAACCCTTCTCGAATGCATGATTCCTTTTATGGTTCATAAAAGGTGATGGCTAGGGAATAGATTAGTGGTGACTGGATAGAACATGTTACCTACTCGTCTCCAGGTATTAGCTCTCAAGGTATTAGCTCTCAAGTGATAATTCTACGAAAATTCGTGTCCACAGTCAACGAAAAATTAAAATCAAGGCTTTTTTCAATTTAGTGGCAAAAATATAGGACTTCTATGATATTAGTCCATAAATAAACTAGTTTATGCGTTCCAAACATAGCCTAAGCTTAATTAATCAGGTCTTGTGACTGCATTTGATATGATTTATTTATTTAACCCGACAAATTAGACCCTTGACTAATTAACCTAATAAACAATCAAACACAATTCACCTAGATCCATCGTCATGAATTCAAATATTAGACTGAAATACATGCATTATGTTTTTGTAATTTTCCCTATTTAAAAACCTTTTTCTTAAAAATAAAACACAAAACAAATCTTCTGACTCATTTTCATCTAAACGATGCATCATTATAATTTGCTGCTTTGCTGTCAACAAAAGCTTTGACCGTGGGTTCTCTTCCAAGAAAATCCGATAAAAGTTCAATAGGCTCCTTTGATCCTTCAGCTTCCATTATCTGTTCATTTATTTTAAAGTAAAATGCTATAATAAAAAGTAAAAAAAAAATCATTTTATTTATTTATTTTTCATTAGGGATTGTAATTGATTGTTACCTTATTCCTGAAATGCATGCCAGTATTCTGGTTGAAAATATCATCACGAAACTTTGATGCATATATATCATCTGCAAAAACCTGGAAACAACAATACATATTCTTATTAATTAAATTAATGGAAAAAGGATTAAAAAAAAAAAAAAAAAAAAAGTTTTATTCAATACCTGACTCCAAATATGAGTATAACAAGCAGCATCACATCCAATAGCACTACTTGGGAAACAAGAGGCTGGATTTGTTCCTTCCAACATTGGTAAACCTAACATTACCTTTTAAAAAAAAACAATTTATTAAAAAAAATGGGTAGATAATTTAATTACATTTATAATCAAATACCTTTGGGTGAAGATGCTTAAATAAACCAATGATGTCAACGTTTTCAGTTGAATGAATAATCTGATCAAATAGACCTAACACACATAATAAATAAAATAATGCTTATATATATAATATGATGATGAATAATAAATACAAAAATTATTAAAATAAGTAAATAACTACCCTTAATGAAAGATATAGCTTACAGTATAAAATTTCTTGCTTCAATTTAATTGCTGAAAAGGAACTTCGCCATTTTTTAATCGATTTGCACACATTATCACTTATAGGCTTTGTAATGTCCTAAAAAAATGATTAAAAAAATTTCGATATATAAAATGTAGTTGTTAATTAGTTTGTACATTTTATTTACTAAATTTGGAAAATAATGATTCACCTGATGAAAACCAGATATTAGCTTCAGGGAAGCTGCTTCATAACACCTGTCCATTAACATTTCCAAATTAAAATCAATTAAATTTTTACTTATTACAAAAATTAAAAATTAAATTCAAAATTACAAACCAATTTTCTAAAACCAGAGCAGGTATTTCCACAAAGTCAGGATCAAGTCGCATTCCACTGAATCTTGCATATGATGCACGATTGCACATACAATGGACCTAAAAAGTAAAAAACACATCATTTTTGTACTTTGAGTGTAAATGACGATTTTACCCTTATTGAAGTTAACATACCACATGAGCAAACTCATGAAAAAGTTTAACCACTTCAGAGAACCTTAATAACACTGGATCACCACCACCTTCTTTTTTTATTTGGGCTACCAACAAGACCACAGGAATCTTTAAAAAAAAAAAAATTAAAATTAATTTTTTTACCAATTTAGGAAACTTTAATTAACAAAAGAAGTGACTTATAGTCTTATTTAATTATACCTGTCTTGAACCATTGATTAATGAGCTATTTTGAAGAGGGATAACACAAGTGTGTCCATACTTTCCTTCCCTATTTAAAAAGTGAGAATTTTATAATTTATAAATATAATTATACATCATGTCTTCTATTAAAAAATATAAAATTTTACACATATGAACCTGGTATATAAATCAAGGTAGAAGTAACCAATTAAATCAGTAGAGTTCAAGTCAAAAACTGAAAAAAGCTCCACATCATTATGCCAGGTGTCTGAATTGGTAACCTTTTCGAATCTTAAGCCTATAGCAATAAAAAGATACAAGTTCAATATTATATTGATGATTTATTGATTTATATAAATAAAATGAGTTGATTTTTTTTTCATTTTACCAAAAAGATCTTCGCATACTTTGAAAATCCCTGATTGAACTAAACTAACAGGAAAGTACTGCTTTACAGCTTCAAAGTCAAGATCAAATTGTTCTTCTTCAGCTTTCTTTATGTAATATGGAAGATCTTGAATTCCAAAGGGAATTTCTCCTTCCTCTTTCTTCTGAATTTCATAGAATAATATCGAAAAGAATTATTTTTCTAGATTTTAAATAAAAAGATATGAGAAAATATGTGGGAGTTTCTAGATTTTTATGAATGACCTTAAAGTCTTTTAGTAGGTTAAGTTCTTGGGAAGATAAATCGTTTAAACTTGCAGAGATTTCCTCTAGAAACTCAAATACCTGAAAATTTAGTAGTATTTTCATTAATAATAATTGAAAAAGATAAAAGATTCAACTTTGGAGATAAAAAATGATTGTAATTATGTTGTTATGAACCTTTGAGGAAGACATTGCCATTCTACAACCAACAACAAAATCAGCATAGTTACTGTAGCCAAGTAATCTAGCAGATTTATGGCGCAATTGAACCTACAGAATACAAGCATAAAGTCAATTAGTCAACTCATGTCATTAAGAATTTTCAGAGAAACTTCAAGTTAATATAATAGTACCAGTTTCTCTAATATGGGAAGATTGGCTTCACATCTTCTACCATAAGCTACTGCAACATCCCTCCTGGTCAACCCCACCTTCAAAAAAGTCAAACAGAATATAAGTATGTAATAAGTTATTGAATCTTTCAAACAAAAAACATGGAAGAAGAAAACAGTAAAAGGAACAAAAAACATACCTTACATAGGTCAAGTACAGCTGAAACATGATGGATTTTCAGACTGATTTTGTATTTATCATTCTCAGATTTCTGTAAGCTCTGAAAACAGAATAAAGTAAACAGTAAGTTATGACTTATGAAGCATGATTTCTTAATCACAATTTACATGAAATATAGACAACCTTAAGGAACTCTAGTGGCAATCCCAGCAATTCTGAGTGATCAAAAAGAAGAAATGAGTTATCATCATTCAAATTCTGGATATATTGGAGACTTAGCTCATCAATTTGTGTCCTCAGCCTCTGTAATTCCTCTCTTTTTGTTATACTCAGATTCATTCCATTACGTTCAAAGTCTCTAATCTGTCACTGAATATTGAACAATAAGTATCTGAACCCAAAATTTGTATAGTTTAAGATATTTAGAGTTTAGAGTTTAGCCATGTCATTTATTAAGCTTCTTGCAAATTAAAGGGGTTCCAATTCATACCAGGAATTGTGTGTAACGTTTTAATTCCATGCTTTTCCATTCCCCTTTTGCTGCAAAGGCTTTAACAGTGCGATATACATCTTCCCTATGGCTGAAGAGTTCAGTATTAAAGTATGTTAGAAACTAGAAACAAGACATCTCAATTTGTTGTGTAAGTATGGAAAAGAATGTTCAATATGTGTGATGAAAGATGCATGAAAGAATATGTAAGAAAGTAAGACCTGCAGGTTGAGACATGAGCATCTATTCTTCTTTCTGCTTCAGCACTTGCTTTTCGTATTTCTTCAGAAGTAGACACGAATTTTGGGAAGATACAAGACTGGATCAGTGGGAATTGGGATGCTTCCAATTCTTCAAGAGGTAACACAACATTCGTATATGTGACCTAAAAATTCAAAAATAAGTGATCGCCAATAGTAGCTAATGAGAATGTATGAGAATCCAGCATGATAATCATATGTTCAGTAAACAATCCTTACAATTAACTCAATAATTCAATAAGCCACAAGCTTATAAAGAATGAAATCTATAAGGCATTATAACTGGTTGAAGATAGTTTGCGATCCGCTTAAATGATACATACCTTATCAAGAGGAACTGAAGCTACTGCGTCATGAACCGCCTTCGAGTTAGCAATCAAACGATCAGCCAGTTTAAGTATTTCCGATGCCGAAAGATTAGCCCTAACAATGGAGCCTCGAAGACCTTACAACATTGAATTAAACAGAGTTCAAGTGAATGTCAAGATAATGACACGCAAGTATAATAACTACAGATACAATTTAACACATCGAGAAGATTGCGTGTTGACTTTATACAAGAAGCCGATGATATTAACAAAACAAAAAATATAACATACACTCGTTTATTCATAGAGAAATAGAGAATACATACCTTTCTTCTTTAGATCGTTTCTCTTTGAGTTAATAGCATCGATGGCGAACTTGACGGCCACGGCTACGAAGGCAGCAGCTCCGGTAACGGCTAATAGGTTATTTCTGTCTCTTTTTTTTGTCGCCATACCTTCTCTACGGTAGAACACGGCTGTAAGCGGCGGAGATGAGTAGTCGGTAGCCGCTGCCGGTGGGCCACGTGAATTTAGAGTCTTCTTGTTTTTCTCGCTGACCAAAATGGGGGGAATAGGAGGGAAATTTGGGCGAAATGAAAATGACTCTTCCATTTAAAATCCGTTTTTATTTTAGATAAGGAAGATTTTAAATCTTTGTATTTGTACTATTTGATATTATCTCATCATCATCAATAAAAGAAGAATAAAATAAATAAGGAGAGAAAATAAGAGAAATGAAAGAAAATATATTTCTCTGTTCCTAAGTTTGAGAGAAATGGAAGACAAATTAAACATTTTGTTCTTTTTTTTCAAATCCTTCCAAATCAGAAGCAAAGTTACGAGGGAAAGTGATACTTTCATTTCTTTTCACTTCCTTCGTTTAGTGAAACTCGGAAACATCAATTTAAACCCATCAAATAGAGTTTACGGCCAAACCTTCATGTTTGGGCCATAAACTCATGGTATATGCATGAGTTTACATCATTTTCCTCATTTCTCTTCCATTTCAAGACTAGTAAGCCAATTTCTCTCTCAAGTACCATAAGATCTTCACCTTGATCTTCCAAAAATGTAAGAATTCTTTCTCTTGAATTGTTGTTACATCTCCTTATCTAGTGATTGTACATGATTTCATCCATGAAATCATTCCATTTTGATAGATTTGCAAGTGTTCTTCATTTCACCAAGAACACCAAGAACACACACTAGTGTTTTTGGACTTTAATCACCTTATCAAGCTTTTATATTGTAAGTACTCTCTCCTAAGCTTGTTATATACAAGAAATACTTGAAGAACACTTAGAAAACATTCAATTGACAAGAACAAAGGGAGTTTACGGCCAAGGCAATCTCCCTTGGCCGTAAACCCATTTAATGGAGCATTTGTTGACCTTAGACACTCCTAAAGGCTTCTAAACACTTGAGTACCTTCCTTTGTGTGGTACTTATTAGTTATACTACTTGAAAACATCAAGAAATCAAGAACAAAAGGTGTTTACGGCCATGGTAATCTCCTTGGACCGTAAAACCCTAATTAAGGGTGCAAATGAACCCTAACCTCTTACTAAGCCTTGGAACTAAGTCTAGAACACCTCAAGGATGAACATAGGACCTTAAAACACAAAATGGTACATATTACCATGAGTTTACGGCCGTAAACTCATTGGACCATAAACCCAATGGCCGTAAACTCACATGGTGTTACCATTTGGGTCGTAAACTCCTAAGTGAGGCCCTACAACCCTTAGATGCAACCCTTTGTACTTCTAGCACTTGAATCAAAGTGTTTTCCATGTCCTAGGGTGTCTTTACTTACATAATTAGTTGTTTAAACACTAATGATAAACATATATGTGTCATTATATGTTCAATAGGATCAGTGTGTGCTCAAGTCTTCACTTGACACTTAGCATCCTACACCAATCTTACATTTGAGTAACTTACAACAGGTGAGTTCATACCCCCACATTTTCATAGTTTTTACTGTTTTAAGGGGGGGGGGGGAATACAAGTCTAACACAAAGATATTGTGTTATAACAAATGATTTCAAATGGAATACAGTTATCAAAACAAATGGTTTCAAACATCTTATCAAATCAAGTGGTTTTAAGTGATTATTTCAAAAAGACATCAAGTTACTAAAATGGATTTCAAAATATGAAATTTCTTTTAAATGTTTTATAAACTTATATTTTTCCCCAAAAATCATACTAGTATAAATATATTTATATAAATAAGATTTAAAAGACTTAGGACTGACAACCCACTTTGGTTCCTTTTCCTTGTTTGGATGTGGGATTACAAGTATCCGTTGTTTGTCCAAGTGTCAATTAAATCTTAGTTATATATATTTGTATATGTATACAAGTATAAAAGTTTATTCAATTAGATTCATTTACCCTTTGTACATGTTGAGCAAAGGATCCCATACATGAATACTCGTTATCGAATCAGAAAGTACATGTAAATTATAATAGGTATAATTTATGATTCACAGAACATTAATTCATGATACAAGTATACTAGAGTACATGGTTTTACAAAAACAAAGGTTTAATTCAAAACTATTCAAGTGTATTCATTTATTCAAATACATGTTAAGAGTACTAATTCAAGGATATACTATCAATCATTTACTTCAGAATGATTGGGTTTTCATAACTGTTATACATGTAACGTTATATGCTTTTATGAGTCAAGTAGTACAGTTTGTTTAATTCATTTTAAACAATACAGTAAAGCCCTGATATTATAACCAGAGTCTCCAGCAGGGGATCGAAACAATGTGTGTATAGATCTATATTGGGATTGACACTCCCGCACTCGGACTGCTAGCTACAGTCAGGCATACACGCCTGTGAGTGACAATTGTTATCATCAACTTTCAGCGCATACATAGCGTTGGGTCAGGCCATCTAGTTAGTATGGTTATAATAACTCATTAAAAGATATTAACAATACGTTAGTGTATAATTAGCTAAACTTAAGTACATTTTCAAAGTACTATTTTACAAGATACAGTTTACAAGATACAGTTTACAAGATACAGTTAACAAGATACAAGTTTACATAAAGATTACAAACACAGAACATTGGTTTACAAATAGAACAGTTTTATTCATATACAACAGAAAATATAGGATTTTCTGGAAACAGTTTACATATTCAAGAAACAGAAAACATTCTTACAAAACATAAATACTTATGCACTCACTCAACTTTATGTTGATACTCTCTTTTCAAATTACTTGTATTCTCAGGGAACCCGTAGACAGGTACACCCGAGCTTTTGAAGATGGAGTAGTTTATGTTTTGTTTTTATCTTTTGTACAACTTTTTGGTTTCAGTATACAATGTGAAACACATGTAAATATTTATACTTTTTAATACAATGGTTGTTTGTACTATGATTACTATATTACATATGTTGTGATACTACAAATGAAGTCCTCCACCCCCGGACGTTTCCGCCGTCTGGTTTGGGGGGTGTGACAGATTGGTATCAGAGCAATGTTTATAGTGAACTTAGTATATCAATGCATAAATGATATACAAACTATAAATACATTGGGGCTAAGAGCTCTTACTACAAGTATACTTTTAAAATTTAAGTATTTTTACAAGAAGTATACTAACGCTCATACTTACAAGTACAATATCACAGTCATAAGAATTTAAAAGTATTTGGATGTTGAACATTACAGTCAAACCTGGACAGTTATGTAATCATATTTGGGATTAATATAGCCTGATCAACTATATTGATTTGAAATATGACCAACATGTGTTTGGGAGTGATAGTGGTGTTGTGGCATGTCTAAAACTTACCATACATACTCATAAGAACTTTAGAACAGAACATAAAGATTAAAATACCATAGGGGTATTTAGGCACTATATACTAATAACAAACATGTGAAAACAATAGAACAAATTAAGGGTAGAACTATAAATATTAAGGGTATATTACAATTATATATAATTAAAATTATATAGACTTAGAATATGTGATTTAGCTTCATTTCCTGTTCCTTGTTTGGTTGTGGATTTAGAGCCGGGTCATTTAATCGAAGGTCGAATATAACCAAGTTATATATAATTAATATGCACATTATAGTTATAGTAATATCTAGAACAAGTTGTACTTAGTACATTATTTGTTAATTGTAGGTCTTTCTTGTAGAAACTTATCGTTACTAACTATATTCTATATCTTTTATCCCTATTTTCGCTTAGATAACAATGGCTGGATTTCACATACCTGGAAACCCGTATTTCCCAAACCAAGAACAAGATATAAAACCAGAGGAAAATCACGAGATTCCCTTAAATGATGACTTTGCTGAGAATTTTCCTGAAGATAACAATTCCGGATCAGAAGCCTATAATCCACCACCAGTTGCTCAGAATCCTAACCCTCGTCCAGTTTTCCAAGGTCCGACGCCTATGTGGGTAGAAAGCTTGGAAACATGGAGTCAAGAGCAGAATGAACCAATGCCTTACAATGGAGACAGAAGCTTCTACAACTTAAGCGAAGGAGGTTCAGCAGACAGAGTCCTGCCAATTATAGTTAGTAGAGTTGCTCGAAGTGAAATACAGGGTAGAATAGCCATCAACCGAATCGGGGAAGTTGTTGCCAATATGAGAATTAATACAGTCAGTATTAATCGTCTTGAGCATATTCGTGAGAGAGATATAAGGGACAATGAATCTCTATTGCAAGCATTAGCTGAAACTCGAGCTGAAATCATAGAACTTCAAGCACGCCTGACAGTGTATGAAAGGCATCTGCTTGCTATGGAGCATCAAATGGCTGAGTTGAGGGTACATCCAAATGATACTCGTCATCATTAGGAAGTACTCTACTTGTTTCTTATTCACTCTTTTGGTTATAGTTAAGTCTATGGTTAGGTTTTAGTGTTATTTTTCAGGGTTTTTCAGTAAGACCACGAAAAATTCTATTTTCGATAGGTCTATATGATGTCGATATTTTCTCAGAATTTGGTGTATTGTAGACCTGTTTTAGGGTCAAGTTTTCCAGACTTATGTATTCAATATGCCAATTTAAATCGACATGCATTTTCGTACTCTTGAAAAATAACCATTTAATTTCATATTATTCAGTTACAAGTTGTACTTGTCATAGACTTCTATTTCCAATTCATTCCAAGATTCATGTCGAACTATTTGTTTTAGTTCATAGATATCAGGATTCATATTCACTCTTGATATCTTATCATCATTGTATCTTTTGACTTTATAGAAAAAGATGCCTCCACGTAGGAATCCAAGACGTCAAAATACTGATGAACCACCGGTACCACCTCCGCCACCACCTCCTCAGTTTGACCCCGTTATGTTCTAAGCGGCGGTCACGGCAGCTGTAACTGCTGTTATGGCTCAGATTAATACTTCTGGTGCTAGTGAGTCTGGAGCTGGTACAAATCCTACTAACCAGGGCGAAGGTCATGGGCATTCGCGAGAGTGAACTTATAAGGAGTTTTCCAATGCCAAACCCAGGACCTTTAATGGAACTAGTAGAGTTATGGCATTAAGGCAATGGATAGAAAAGACAGAAGCAATTTTTGAAATTTGCTCCTGTCCTGAGAAC